GCACTATGCATTGCAGTTTGGTATCGTTGTTTTCGAAGACGCGTAACATGGTATACGTAAGGGATATTTTATTCTTTCTTGGATGAGTGAGCGCAGCGAACGAATCAATACGCAACGCTCCTTAGCTGATTCATTTCTACGCTAAGCTGCGCGTCAGACACGACGAAGATATACGCGTTTACCTTAAAGTCAGTACCGCTTCCTTTGGTGCGCTTGATTTCCAAAGTAATGCCGTCTTGGGTGTTTACCAGCCGCAGACCCTGACCGTGCATAGATTCATCGTTGGTAGTGYGCATGTCAATCCACAGCGCGTACTTATCCGTGAAGAATTCTTCAGGACTCACCTGGTCGCCAAACTTACGCATTGCATCCCTGTACACGTCTGCAGGCTTTATTCCCTGGGAGTAGACCTTGTTAGGTACTCCGTTAATACTAACACCTACGTTGGTAATGTTGGGGTTAAAGAACGCCTCAGAGTCCCTACCACCTGCGGTATACGTCTTTGCGAACAGCAACAACAATCCTGTAAGGCTGCGTCGGGGTATGTTAATGCTTTCATTGATGACCTCGGGGCCGTTATTTTGGAAGCTAAACGTCTTATACATTACAACGTGGTCGTAAAGGAACGCCTTCCCCGAGCTGTACTCCATGCCGGACCTACGAGCCAGCTCTTCGCTATATATTGTTTCGTATTGCAGCTCTAAGTTGGTGATGGAGTATGGAGTTGTTGTGCTGGGCGCAGAACTTAACCCCCCAATGATGTTATTAGCATCTGCTAAAGCTACTTCAAACTGTAGTTCACTTAATTGCCTGGGGTAGTACACACCATGACTCGTAATTACTTCGAAGTCCAGTGGTATGACATACTTAGTCCCATAGACCGTCTTTAGTTCCTTTGCCTTGGCCACGGCCGTTTCCCCGCTGGAGTCCGTAGGTTGCGTTTTCGTAGGCGTGCGAACCTTACGTAGGATAACGCCACCAATTCCTTGTTCTATCCTTTGCGCACGGTCGAAGGCCGTCAACCACAAATCTTTGTACGTGGTGTACAAATCGTACCTGTTTAAGTCCAGCAAGGTTTCCCCGGCAAAATTGACCCTCATCTTAGAGACAAGGCTGCGGCCCACGTTGTTGACGATAATCCTTTCGTCTGTGGGGTCAGACTGCACCGCTAGGTCAAACCTTAAAGCCAAGGTGCCAGGAACCAATACTAGGTTATCCGTTAGGCGGGGTACGCC